CACACACACACTTTTTTTTTCCTGTTTCTTGGTATTTTTGGGGTCCTGTCCTGAAGGAGTTAATATGTTTTTCAGAAGGAAAGATTAGTTTCAAGAGCTAGAAGGGCAAGTCAAGCATAACTTCTAAGTGGCATCTTCCTCATTATGTCATCTTTTGTTTACCGGTTTGTTCTAGGGAGATTTAAAGTATAAGAGAATGTCTGTCATCTGCTCTTTTAGTTTTTTAAGAGAACTTACTTACCGTCATATTTTCTAGATAGGGAGACTCAAAATGATGAAAAGGAAACAGTGGTAGGAAGGTTCTATTTATTTGGCCTAGAGAAAATAAGACGGCGAAACAGCTGTATTTAACACCCTGCAGCTCATCCAGTGAATACACTTGTCTGCCATGTGTGTGCCAGGCAGTGTTCTAGGTGCTGTAGACTTGGCAGTGACCAGAACCAGCCCCGTGTTCCCTAATGGACGTCCCACTGCATTAAAATAAACATCTCAGTTCCTTCCAGGGACCCACAGAGTCTGATGCTGTAGCCCCTGCCCACACATCCAAGCTCAGCGCTCTCTGCTCATCTCCTTTTTCACTCCACTCCAGCTACGCTGGCCGCCTTGCTGTCACCTCAGCACCCAGATTCATTCTCACCTTAGGGTTTTCTCTTTCTTCTGCTTGGAATGTTCTGCCCCCAGGTCTTTGCATGACCGATGTCTCAAAGTCCTTGAGCCTTGACTCAGATGTTACCTCGTTAAGGATCCTTTCCCCGTCACCCCAACTAAAGACCCTCAAAACACTATCACCTCACCCTGCTGTGTGTTTCTCATAGCCCTCTATGTATTGAAAGTGATCTCATTTATTTATTTGTTCATTGTCCAGTTCCCCAGACCAGAATTTAGGCCTTGTGAAAGTCTGGAAACTCTCTGTCTCATTTACTGCTTTATGCTCAGCACTTAGAACAGTGCTGCCTGGCACGCAGTAGGTACTCCTATAAAACATTGTCAAAAGAATCAGAGGGTTGGGACTTCCCTGGCAGTCCAGTGGTTTGGACTCCATAGTTCTACTGCAAGGGACATGGGTTTGATCCCTGGTCGGAGAACTAAGATCCCACATGTGGCCAAAAATTAGAAAAGAAAAAAAGAGTGTTTTAAATACTGTTGTCACATGACACCCTTAGAGGGCAGGAGTAAGACTGTAAGGTATGACGGGAGATGCGGTTAGGACCCAAGGATAAAAACCCGGCCAGGAGGACCTTACCTGTCTTGTAGGAATTAGTCGCCATAGAGCTGCCCAAAGCTGGATTGTTCTCTAGTCGAGGTGATGTAAAATACTGACTGGTCATCTCACAGGTGATGAAGTGTTAAGTCAGGGCTAAATTTGTATTGGTAAATACCAATTAGCCATGTTTACCTTTTTAAATTAAGCTACTTAAATTAATGACCTGGCAGCTAAGCAGCCACCTCACAGAATTCTGTTGCTCAGAGAGCCCCGTGGAACAGTCCTGCATTGCCACTCATTGGACATTTTATAGCTTTATAAACTGAGGCACAGTAAGGTTAAATGGCTTGTTTGGGACTTGATGAATACATGGGAGGGTTGAGCGAGGATTCAGGGTTTTCCGTTTCCATTCATTAGCCCTGCAGAATTTATTGGAGTTCTTATTTTTCCTAAGAGTTTTCAAGGAGGGTGTTTGTCTCTGGTCTCACAGCATTTTGTAGAAACTTCAAGTGCTTATCACTTTTTGCTGGAATTGTTTGTTTGGATTTCTCTCTGTCAGGGTCAACACTTCTTTTGGTTTATATTTGTATCCAAGGGCCCAGGCATGCAAGAAATATATGTTGAATGACTGAATGAGAATTTAAAAATCTGACATTTGCTAAAGCATTAGCACAGGTAGGTTTTCCGTTCGCCAAGTTTCTAGTTTGAGTTAAGAGGTATAGTTTGAATTAATTAGAGGTCCCCAGTAGTGACCTCTAATTTAGACTTAGGTTGACCACAGTGTTAGGAGTCATATATGTGTGTACATGCAATATATATGATTCCTAACACGTGTCTTTGTGTATATATGTGTAGGTATATATGACTCCTGACACACATATATATATTCCAAAAGTAAAGAGAATGAATGGTAGTTATTGTGTTTGCCTATTTTTTGTTTCAATGTTCTAAAATTTTTTTTTTTTTAATGATCTTGTTATCTACCCCTGAGGCATAGATTTGAAAATTGTGGCTTATACTTAATGTAAATGCACATACTGTAATA